CTGTCCCAGTTGAAACTATGTCAAAACTTCGATGCCGCTGGGCGTGTTGAGTACAAGGAATTCAAAATTTGACGCATTCGTGATTTAATCGAATCGAATAAGGCATAGATCATACAGCAAAAGTCGAAAAACTGTTGTGAAACACGTTTTCAGTGAAACCGCGAAAAAACTGTTTTGGACAAAAATTAAACTATCTTATTGGGTTGAAAATTGCGGTTCGATTTTGAGTCACGATTCTTTTATTTATAAAAACATAAGATTTCTTCCGAGTATTGTTAATCAACATGTTAAGTTAATATGGCAAATCTGACGATATAACATTTTTGTCTTCATTCATGGGTTTTGTGGACTGTTTGAAACTGTAATCTGTAAAAACTTTTTCGGTGAGAAATAGAAAGAGAGAATGTGGACAACTCAGTTTGAACAGATAATTATTGATTGACTCGTGTAATGTGTTAAAATTGAATAAGTGAAAAGAATGAAAAATGGCTAAAAACCTACGAAACAGAGAAATTAATCAAGGAAAAAGTTCACTTTCTTCGTTTTGGCACTGATCTTGATGTCTTCTCGTGTTGTTGTTCAAAATTTGTCAATCTGGTAATTAGCTATTTCGAAAAGCCTGTGGAAACTTAGAACCTTCAGTAAGACTAGAACGAAATGGCGGCCACAAAATTCAATGACAATGAGTAAAGAAATATTTTCAAAATTTCTTATCTTCGCGAAACAGTAATTGTTCACTTCATTTGTTCAAACAAAAGAACTTATTAGAGACCTGTCCTAAAATCCGGTCAATGAGAATTTTCCACCAGTTTACATTTTTTAAACAGTTAATTTAACCCCACTCTAGAGCATCAATTTCCTAGCTCTAAAGTAATTAAATCATAAACGAAACCGGGAATCTATATGTTATACGTCAAAGTGCTAGAAAAACGAACTGTTATTTTAATGAAGCAACGAAAGTTCACTGTTTCGACCGAAAAATTAATGCTGTTTCAAGACTTCAATCCCGCTGCGCTTTAAGTAAAAGCAGCAAATTAGAAAATCTACGAATTCGTGTTTCAATCTCGAATCGGTAATACAAAACCCAGCAAAATTTGGAAGACTATTGTGAAATACGTTTCCAATAAAACCGCAAAAAAATGTTGTAGACAGAAATTAACTTATCTCAATAAACATTATTCTTATTGGGGTATCCATTTCTGTTGGATTATGAGCCATGATACTTTTGTTTATGAAAACATAAGAATTCAGCGGGTTATTGTTAATTTACATGTTAAGTCAACTGAAGGGTAATACTGAAAATATCACAAGAAACATTTTTTGCTTTCATTCATGAGTTTTGTGGACTGTTTGAAACTGTAATCTGTCAAAGTATTTTCGGTGAGAGATAAAAAAGTGAATGTAGACAACATACTTTGAACAAATAATTATTTATTGACTCGTGTAATTTATTGAAATTGTATAAACGGAAAGAATGAAAAATTTTTAAAAACTAAAAAAAACAGAGAAATAAATCAGGGAGAAAGTTCACTTTCTTTGCTTTGCACTGATCGACTGATCTTGATGTCCTCTCGTGTTGTTGTTCAAAATTTGTCAATCTGGTAATGGAAGATTAGAAGTTTCAGTAAGATTGGAACAGAGTGGGGGCCAAAGAATTCAACGAGTAAAAATATACTTTCAAAAATTCTAACCTTCGTGAAACAGTAATTTTTCACTTCATTTTTTCAAACCGAAGAATTTGTTAGAAACCTGTATCAAATTCAAATCAATCAGTGTTTTTTTTCCAAAACTTTTCCAGTTTTTGAAACAGTTAATTTTTAGTTGATGTCGACTATTTTCCAAATAAATTAAGTTATAAATGAAACAGGAAATCTGTATAGTATACTTCAAAGTGCTAGAAAAACGAACTATTATTTTAATGAACCAGTAAAAATTCACTGTTTCGATCGAAAGATTGAAGCTTCGTCAGGACTTCGATCTCACTGCGTGTTTCGAGTAAAGCAGAAATTCAAAAATTTACGCATTCGTGTTTAGCTCTCGAATAGGAAATACAATACATAGCAAAAGTTGAAAAACTGTTGTGAAATACATTTTCAGTGAAACCGCGAAAAAAAACTGTTTTAGACAAAAAAATCGGCAGTTCCATTTGGTATTCGTAAACTGAAATAAAATCTGAATTAACACTTCGTAAAAAATATGAAACAGTAAGCTACGTTCCTAGATTTCAGACCAACAGCCTGATCTAGGCTAACCAGAAACATCAGACACACGACAAAGAAATTCACTCGGTTCAAGATGGAATGACCGGAAAAAATAAATATAATGAAGATGTGTATATCGCAAGTTTTGTTATAAACTGTTTGTTATAAAATGTTGATTCGCGTACTGCCTAGACAATGATCAATCATATGCAAAATGTTGCTGGAACACTGAAAAATTACACTTTTTCGTACAATACAGTCGTGGTTTTGGAAGCCGTGAATTTAAATATGAAGCATAATTGAATATTTATTCGTTTAGAAAGGGCTCGGAAAGAGGAATTACTTTTAAAAAATAGCGAAGCGTTTTGATAACTTCTTGAGACTGTAACATACTTTGTAAATTCGGTAGAGTCCATGGACTCCGAGCAATGATTCATTTTAGATCTTGTAGATATCATTTTCTATTTTTTCCCGGGTTGGCATTTTTCGAAGAAATTGACCTAGAAAATGGTGCTCTGATGCCTCAAAACATCTTGAACAACTTTTCTAATTCTCTTATGTTGCGGTACTTGCATTTCTAGTTCTTTCTGAAATCTCACAAAATTTTATTGCAAAAGCCGCGGCCGGCCGGCCGGCCGCGGCTTTTTGTACTGAGTTGAACTTTCACGGCCGGCCGGCGGCCGGCTTTTTGACGGCTAGCCGCGGCCAGCCGCGGCCGGCCGTTTGACAGCCTTGGATATCAGCCTCTGAGGTTCATACTCCAAATAATATCTGGTCTCTCAAAGTCACACACAATCACAGCCAAAAACTTTTTCCAAATTCGTTTTCAAATGAAACATCAAAAAACTGTTCAAAATCAGAAATTATTCTCTGTATTACTTCCCTGTTCTATTGACTTTTGATAACTGTATCAGCACATATTGTAGTAATGTACATCTATTCGTCTCTGCATGCTAACACGTTTTACTTTTTCAAAACAGTTTCGGTCAACTATTCACCATTTTTGGTTTTTCGAAGAAAAAAGTTTCATTCTTATGTTTCATCACTGGAATAGATGAGTCCCTTCTGCTATATGAGAAGTAGGAAGCAATAAAAAAGTATTTACAGACCCAAAAAAAACGCAATAACAGTTTCCTGAATACGTCTAATTCCAAAGGCTCATATGAAAAAAGAGAACAATATTGTAACACATCGATTCAAGAAAAATGTGTTTATGACCGCTTTTAAAACTCAAAATTCATTTGCTCAACCAATATAATCACAAACAGATTCATAAATTAGATTTAAAACTCCCACTTAAACTTTGAAAATGACCTTTCCGTCTGAAAACATCACCAGAACATTTATCGTTTTCATTTATGGGTTTTTTGAACTGTTCGAAACTGTAATCTGTGAAAACATTTCCAGTGAGAAATGGAAAAAGAGAATGTAGACAACATACTCTGAACAAATGATTATTTATTGACTCATAGAATACATTGAAATCGAATAAGTGAAAAGACTAAACAATGATCGAAAACTTACGAAGCAGAGAAATGTTTATCAATCAAAGAGAAATTTGGGATAGACCACGTTGTTCACTTTCTTTGATTTGGAATTGATCTTGACTCCCTCTCTTGTCGTTGTCCTGGAGAGTGCCACATAAAATTGTCCGTGGCTGAAGATGGGCTCGTCCAGAAGGAGTCCGATCCTCTCGAAGGTCTGTCCCTAAGACATATTCACCGTCATTGCGAAAGCGAGGCGGATAGGAAACTGGAGGCGACTCATGATGAATGGGAGGTGCTTCTCGTAGTTCAGCTTGATTCGAGGTATGAGAACGGACTCATATTTATCGTGGACCGTTGATGAACTTGCACTGGACGGTCTGAAGTGAACAGTTGGGGAATGAGAAAGAAACATAGACCAAAAGTGGAAAAATGAGAGCCTCCAGAAGACTAGAACACCAATTCAAACCCTCGGCATTCGCCTGCGGAGACCACAGCCCATTTCGCATCATTTCCCTTCTACACTCATCGATGCACAACGAGTGAGTACACATAGATGCAACGGGGGTTTGAACCCACGACCTTCAGCACGGCGGCCTAGTGCGTTAGCCACTACACCAGGCATGCAGCATCGAAGCGAGTGGGGAGAGGGCATAGAGGAGAGTGAGCGACGCAGGCAAGAGATGGAGAGAAGAAAGAGAGGAAGAGCGCCGCTATCAAAGTGAGTAAAGAGAAATGAATTTTGAGACGAGCAAGTGCGCCCCAAAGAGAAAATTAGTCAAATAGAGCGAATTTAGGCTCTGGAACGAATAGTTTTAGAAAGGAAAACCGAGAGGTAACAACAAAGAAGACTTTAAAAAATACATATTTATTCAATTTTCCACAAAAAGATTACAAAAATTATCACACCACTTCAGTACCAAATTCAACGTCCCGGCGACCAAATTTGCAGCCAAAAGCCTTCGCAATCTCTGCCTCAACTCCACAACCATCTCCACCCACTTCCCGAAATATCCACAATTTCTCAGAATTTCTGATTTTTCGACTGGAACTTTTTGGAATTTTTGATCTCGAAGATGGATGGTTTTCGTCATTTTTTGATCTCCAACGTGTTCGATGATTTTCAGAGAAATTTGAGGATTCGTCGGGACCGGTTCATCGCGGAAAGTGGTGATTGTGAGGGATGCAGGGATTTTTCTGCAAAATTATTTTGAGATAATTCGAGAAAAACCCTAAACGATGCTCCGAAATCCCGCTTTTTGGAAACCAATTTTCAGAATGAAAAACCATTCCGAGGCGGAATTTCGGAGCATCGTTTTAACCCTCACTTTGGCACATAATCCTTCCAAATCCGTCGGGTTTTTTCGTTACAATTTGACTTCAAAACTCTCAAAAGAAGAGAAGAGGCAGCCAATTCCGAGTTGATCCAATCGATAAGAACTTCACAATCATAACTGATTAGGTGCATTGATTCAAGGAAAACCGAGACAGGATGGAAGATTGAGGAGGGACTGAAAATTGGTTTGACGGCCTAGAAATTAAGGGATGGGGGTTTTAGGTCATCGGAAGGTCTTAGTGGTTTAATTTTTGAGATTTGATGGTTTTAGGCCATTCCGCGCCTGAATTAAAATTGGTGGCCTAGGTAACTGTAATTGCTTAACTACTGGAAGCTACCGATGACCTCGTTCTCCCAATTTAGGGTCACTTTTCTCAGAAAAACTCACTCCAGCTCTTCTATTAGAGGTAAAAGTGCCAGCATACTCGTCAGAAATCTCTCATCATTACCCAGTAGTTTTTGTGAGAAACTCGCTGCAGATGGGTATGAAAACGGAGAAGAAGAGGAGGAGAGAAGGGCGGGGAGGTCTGAAAAATTGGGATTGAAAACTGGAAAATTGAAAAACTGCTATTAAACATGACAAAAGATTGTTTCCGGTTTCAAAATTTTTTTTGTAAAAATCAGTATTTTCATTCACTTCGTACCTCCTTTAGGTGTTGTTAACAACAATGCACACAATATTCGTTCTTTCGAGTGATTCGAACCATCATTTTCAGTGGAAGTAGTTGAAGAAGAAGTACACGGACCAACGAAAGTTTCGTTTTCTGCAAGAAATAAAATTACTAAAGGCGGTTTTTTATCAGAGGTGATACACTTTTATCACAGGTAGGCAAACTTTTGAAAGCTTTTTTTTTCCAAAAAAGTTTTTTTTTTGACAGTTTCTTGATAAACTTGCTATCCGAGCGAACTTTTTTTTGATTCCCTGGAGTTTTCTCCTGGCAAAATTCAACAGATAATGGAGTTTCCAATTAATACTTTCAAAAAGTTAGCTTCAAAAAGTACGGTTTCAAAGTTTTTGAGAATTCCTGAAGTAATTGACATTCCTCACACAATTGTTGGGATTCCCACTCGTTTTCTAACGTGTACTGCATTTTATTCTTGCTGCAGGTTTTGAGAAACGGAGCGCCCATGTAATACAGAAAAATCTATCGAAATCACTGATATTCTATTAGAAAACGTTCTTGCTGAATATAGATGAGGAGTGTGAATCGTGTGAACCTCTTCAAAAAAAAAGCACTGTTCCAAATTTTCTTTGAAAGCTTTTAAAGTAGGGAAACTATCGATCAGTGTCCTCAAGATGTTGAACAAATCTTCGTCTTTTTTTTTCGAAAATCAGTGTCTCGAGGTCTTTTCTTGAACAGAAAGTTGGTGAAAAGTTCTAATTTCTGTCCAATTACATGTTGGCTTCATTTATACTTCGAAAATAATACCTATTTGTTTTAAAATTTACTGTTTCAAAGTTTTCGAAAATTCTAAAGGTAAAATTTTTCTCCGGTTCTTTAACAACAAAGTACAGTGAAATTCGTACAAAAACCACTGATTTTCTGTTGAAAATGCTTTATTAGTTTTCGTGAAGCAGTGCAAAGTTTTTTTTTCAAAAAAAAATTCCGGTTTTAATTTTTTTCAAAAATTCCGGAAGTAAATGACTGATGATTGTTGTTTTCCTCGTCTATTGGTCTGAAAGTCCTCAGGTACAGTCATTTTCAATGTTTTTCGTTCCGTTTTTGTTGGAGGACTCAGAAAAACTCAGTTGCATCTAATTCTCAGATTTTCTCTAGAAATCTGGCCTAAATTCTTCAGCGAAAACCTAAACTTTTGGTTTAAATTGATGGGAAACTTCGTGATCACAAAACAGTTGGATCGGGTTTAGCTTCTCTCTAAAATTTGAAAAAAAAATTCCGGTTTCAAAGTTTTTTGAGAACTTCTAACTAATCGATTCTCTTCGGTATGAATTCTTGGCGTTCCCCGATTTGTTCTGCAATTTTATTCCTGCCGTGGTTTTTGAGAAACGATGGACTCTTTGTTGGTAGACAAATCTATCGAAATCCCTGATTTTTAATCCGAAACATTCTTGCCGAGTTCAGTTCAGAAAACTGATAAAGTGCAGTTTTTGCAAAAAAAAAACTCAGTTTCAAATTTTTTCAAAACTTTGTGGAGTAGAGAAATTAACGATCATTCTATTGTCCCCTTTCCTAATCATGAACCAAACTTTCTCGAAAAATCGATAATAACTGTTTCGAGTTCCTTTTTCGATTCGAACAAAAAAAAACCAAAATTTTGTTCAAAACCATGATTTCCCTTTATTTCCCAGATCTCGGACCCAAAATCTTTTGCAAAACCCCGAATCTTTGCTCCTATCTCTTCAGATTTCTCTCAATTGAGCTCAATCTTTTTCATGCTTTGAACCCAATTTCTTTGCTCCGCTCCCTCTTTTTCTTCAAAAATTCTTCCAGTTCTCTTCTCCATTAAATTCTCTGTTCGCCCCCTCATCATTCCACTCTCACCCAATCAAATTGATCGAATTGCACTTTTTTCGCTCCCGTTTCGAAATAAAAGTACAAAAGAGAGAGATGAGGAGACGCAGAGAAAAGAAAAATGTCTATCATCTTTTTTTTCGAAATGTTTCGAAAAAACGAAACAAGAAATGGAAAAAGGAGCCGACACAGGAGAGCAAACACTCGTTTTTTGTGAGTCAGTCAACACAAAAAAGTGTTGTTTTTTAAACAGAGGGGAGATTACGGTAATTGTGCTAATCGGATTATTTTAATATTCATACCGATTGGAAAACTGGTAATCGATTTGCATAATCTGTTGATGCATGTGGAAATGGGTTCGGATGATGGCTGCAAAATCTGGTTTTTTGACATATTTCCTTTAAAAAAATATACCGCTAAAAGTCCGAAATTCGAATCTTGATAAATCAAAAAGGCGATTCGCTCGCAGAGCCTCGACTTCACATCGAATCGCTGCTCCGATTCAAGTGCTTCTATCACAGAATCTTCGGGAATTCCCAGAGAATTCATGGATTCGGAGCACTGGGCTTTTATCAGAAGTTCGTAGCCGGACAGCATTCTGAACTTTCAGATTTTGGGTTCGGGACACCACTAGAGCATAGGTATCTGAAAGAGGGAGCTTACTAACCTAATTCTAAAAACAAGATGTTTGGCAACAAGGGGAATTTATTCAACACTCGATGCGTAATCACGAAAAGTAGTGAGTTTTGACGTCGTAAAGCCAAATAGATTCACCTTCAAAGGTTTTAAGAAGAGTGATTATTAGGCGGGAAAGAATCAAACTAATCGACGACTACTCGTTTCAAGGCATTGGGAAGATGAAGGAGGATAAGAGATTTTTGGGTGATGGAAGCGGAATATTGATAGGTCAAGGAACAAACGACGATATTAACAAGTAACAGCAACAATCGGGGGTTTCCGCCTATTATGTGAGGGGGTTGAGAAAGAATGTGTGAAGGAAGTAAAACGGGACAAATTAATAAATTCAATGAAAAATTGACAAATTAACAATTTTAACCGGAAATTATTTGGTGTTTAAGCCTCATCGTCGCTGTAGTCTGAGATGTCTTCTCCGTCCTCTCCTGGGAAGTCGAACATGTCATCCGATTGGAGCTCTCCGGTGTAGAAGAGCACGGCACGTGGGATAACAGTGTCGCGGAGAGCTTGTCCCATCTCGTAGTCGAGCTCGAGGTACTCCTCGGCTTGCTCGTCATCCTCATCCTCGTTTCTCTCGTCCTTGGACTTTGGTGGGTCGAAGAAGTTGAAGAAGCTGTCGGCCTTGACAGTCTTGGTAAGGAACTTTCCAGCGTTGGCTCCCTTCTTCTGCTTCTTCTTGACGGCCTTCTTGGTGACGTTCTTGCCATCCTCCCACTCGATCTGATCTCCGATGACACGGACAATGTGTGGTCCGTCGAATGCAATTGGTGCATCCTCATCTGGGTCGAAGTTGAGCACATAGGTCTTGGTGAGAACGGTGTTCTTGAAGTATGGGTTGGTGGCGAAGTGGAACTCGAGCTTGAATCCCTGAAATTTGATATTTTAGTTATATGACCCGTCCAGAAAAACAAACTAACCATTGGATCAGTGTTAGCGGCGGTGGTGATATCAGTCAAGTAGGAGAGGATTGGGATATCGTGCTCCTCAATGGACTCGGAGATAAGATCGTGAGTCTTGAGGGCGGTGAGCCAGAAGTCCTTGATTCCCTTGGCAGATGGATCAGCCTCGGTGGTCTTGTTGAGATCCTGAAAAATTCGAGTTCGTAAAAAAATTATGACCAC